CTACATTCAATAGACTTTTGGCTGACTTGTATTTCTGATAATATGGCTGTAGCATCAGGAGGAGAGGTATGTTCATCTTGAGCATTTTCTTCTTTGAAACAAACAGCAGAAGGACCAGACAAATTACAAAGGTAGTGAGTTTAGCAAATCTGCGCATAAAATAATCTTTCATAAGAATAAAATGCTGCATTTACAGCTGCAAATATACCCATATACTTTAAAAATATGAAGCTACTGTGTTTCAGGTTCCCTTTTTCTTAGATCACACAATGAAACACTCATGTGCTCAACCTAGTGAAGTGGTTAACCTCATTGCATTGGTAAAAATAAACCATTCATGCAGCCCTGAGCGTTTAACTCGTCATTAAGTGGGAAAGTTAAACTCAGCAGTTAGTGCAACCAAAGTGAAATGTGTTCTTCACACTGTGTACGTTTTGACTGGCTTGTAAAAAGAAAGAAGAAGTTCATGGCTCTCCCTGGCAGTTTCTTGAGATGATCCAAGACAACATGACCTGCAACATCCTTGGCTGCAGCTTGACTCCGAAGCAGAAGACAGGTTTTTGTCAGATAGCGGAGAAAAGTCGAAGTCAGCTACCTGGAAAAGGAACATCAAAAAGAATGGTTTGAAGTCTAGGCCTAGTCTAACTCAAGAGAGAGACCAGCAAAGTACTTTGGGCCAGAAAGGGAACCTGGGCCTCAACCAGTCCTAATCAGTTACAGACTTCAAATAGACTTTTCTGATGTGAACAAGCTGCACACAGAGCTCACAGGCAGTCTTGCTTATAGGTATTTTATTCATCCTGTGGCATAATTTAAAGTGTATTTGGTGCTTTCCAAGAACAAGATCTTTAATTTAGGAGCTCATGGTTATTATAAATATGATAATACAGCAAGTGAAAGCTACATCAGGGAGATAGGATGAAGTTGGGGTAGATAAAATGTTCATGGTAAAGTTGAAAATATATATATATATATGTATACAAAGGAGAATACCTGCCCTTTCTTACTATTGAGCATAGCCTCCCCTTTCTTTCTTCCATATATACGTGAGTTCTGAGGTAAATCACCTGGAAGGCACACTTCAGAGCAAACAATACTGGGGAATACCCCCTAACTGCCCATCACAGCCCTGACAACTGGAATTAGATCCATCTTTCTTACACAGATCAGCAGAAACAGACATGTTACTTAAAATGTTTGCCTGTGCTGTTCAGGCTTTCCTGTGGAATAGGTGGGTTGGAGAGATCCCATCTCTCTCCCATGCATGCCTGGAGGGCTGAAAGGCATCCAGTCACCTATTCCATCTCCAAGCAAGAGTAGCAGGTACCTCCACGAGATCTTTCTGCTGTGTGTTACTTCTCAAGGTCGTGTACAGCACCAGTCCTAGCACCACCAACAGCAGCGCGATGCAGAGCAGGATGAAGAAAGCTGGCTGCATCCCTGGAGAAGAGCAAAAAAGGGACCCTCCTGGAGTGGTACAATGCACTGAGAGGAGCTAACAGCGAAGAGGAGACTGTGTTTTGGGAGAAACATCCCGACTTTTCAGAACACTTTTGAGACTAAGTGTTCAGCAGAAAACAAGAAGCTCAGAGCAATTAAAGGAGGCATGTGGCAGCCTCTCCTTTCAGTTCACCTTCCTTATATGATTTTGAGGATTCGTACCAATTTTCCAAAACCTCCTCTCCATGCTAGTTATAACTACCCCTGACGTTTTTGAGATGTCAGGTTTCCAGACCTGGAGGAACCTCGTGCTGGCTGCACCTCACCTGTTGGCCGCACTTGGATTTCGCGGTACGTCTGCAGCGTGGTGACACCGCTCTGCACCCTGACGCTGAGGCAGTACTGCCCGGCGGCGCCGAACCGGTGGCTCAGGTTGTAGTGAGAGCCGCTGATAACCACCAGGTGGCATTTTTCACCTTCCAGTGGAATGCACTCGGCCTTTATAAGCCAGCATAGGGCCAGCGGGGGGCTGAAATGAAAAAAACAGAAAAGAAAAAGAAAAAAAAATCAATACGCATACACAAAAATACATTTTTAAAAATATATGTATATAATTATGTGAAAACCTTGCAAAAATTGTAGTCAAGAACAGATGAAGCACTCAGATAAAATAGGGTGATAATTCTGAAAACCACTGAAGCTAATTCAGATACAAATAGAGAGGTAATTAACTGCACAATCATTCAATCGTTTGCTTTCTAACATCTGACAGTGGAAAAAGACCTTTATAATGCTTCTATAAAATAAATCTTTCAACTGACAGTTAAATACCTATGTGGATCATAGGCAGGCCCTTGTGTGCAGAGGAAAAAAAAACACCCTTAGCACTTCTCTAACAAAGATAAAGGAAATCTTTTATTTTTTTTTTTTCCAAGAGGACATAGGTTGTTTTTCCTTTGCTCTCTTCTCACCGTGGAGGTCAGTGTCTGTGTTGCTGATGTACACCCAACACTTTTCTGATTAAAAAAAAAAAAAAAAAGAAAGAATGCTAGATGAGCTCAGTGCAATCATTTGGCCTAATAGCTTAGAAAGGTAAATAGCTTGCAAGGATCACAGGATTCCTCTCCTCTAATAGAAAACCTTTTATTTGCTACTGAATTTTGTTAGCTACACAATCTGAGTGCAATCCACTTTATGGCCTATGTCTTCTCACTGGTCAGTTGCTGCCTTTTGTTTACATTTTCAGCCCCTTGCTCCAAATGGCTTTGCCTGGGCTCATCTTCTGCACTACAGATTTTGATTCTGACAACAGGCAGAGCTTGCCTTTGTCCTATTCTCTTAGCATTTTGTTCCTTATCTGCCCAGGGTGTTCTCTATTAAAGAGAGCAGCATATCTATGTGTTTAGCTCATTTTCTAGTTTTGTTTTTGGTAAAAGATCTTTCAAAGGCTTTTTGAATACAAAATCCCATCACATCTGTTCCAGCTTCACTGCTGGCAATTAGATCTGGCTAATATTGCCCATCTAAACCAAGTCAGTGCTTATAAATCCAGAGTTTGCCTGTAGTGGTTTCTGGCTATTCTTATTTACTCGTCATCTCTGGTGTCCTTCATATCGCTGTACTTTGAATACAAACTGTGCTGTTTTGTCTTTCAGGGTAGCTCTGTCTTGGCAAATGACTGTGTCAGGAGCTGCTCCCCATATCCTCCATCTCTACCAGCGGCCCTGCGCTTTGAGGTTCTTTTTAAAAATCCAGCATTAGGCCAAACAGCTTCCAAAAGGAGGATGCAGAGAGACCCTTTTTTGCAGAACAAATGACTTAGTCATGAATAATTTTTAGAGTAAAAGGGCTTTTCTGAATCATTCAATGACATTTGAAAATGCTTTTGTCATCTCGTGTGTTCTGGGTATTGCAACTTGAGAGAACTTGTGCTAGGATCAAGGTGCTTGTGACTCTTCTATGTTCCTGTAAGTAAACAGGAATAGTGCCCCCAAATAACAGACTAGGGAAAAGCAAACCTCAGCACAACAATATTTCCTTTTTCTCCTTATTCCCAGACTGAGCTCTTTTAGGCAACTTTGTTTTTTTCAAGCCTTTTCCTTATCCAGAATACCTTTTTTTTTTTTTTTTTTTTTTAATTTTCCCTTTCTGCTTGGAGCTTCCCTCATCTATTCATCTTGTAGCAACCTTTACTTGGCAAAAATAAGTCTGCAAACCTATCAGTGCCAGTCAACGACAGCTGCTGTTCGGGATGAATCTGAACATAGTTTAATTTAATGATAGGGAATCAAAGAAAGAGATTCAAAAGGGATCTTCAAAATGCCTTTTTTTCCCCCGTTGTCTTTCTCTAGCTAGTTCTCTTTTCACTTTTCCTTTGTGAAGATATAAAAATAATATTTGCTTTATCTGTAAGGATTCTCTGAGCAGACATGCATTTGAATATTCTGTACATTACATTTCTGTAAAGTTGTAGCCTCTTTCAAGCTGTTGGAGTTCGAGGTATTTCTAGACAAGGTATATTCAATCGTATTTTGTTCACAAGAAAATTCCTTTTCTAAGAAACAGTTCTGCAGGGTGCAAGTGACTATTTTAAGGAAACAGGAGAAAAAAAATAAACAAAGCATATAATGTTTTTTGATAAAAGACAGTTATATTTGCTACTTACCTGCCATTGATATGAAGAGATAAACTCAAGTTTTCCATTACGTGAGTCTCTCTGGAGCCCACTACATTAATACTTTTAACAGCATCTGAGAAGAAAAAAAGCGTATCACGCTCAACGTGTAAACTGAAACTGAAAAAATTGAACTGTTTTTTTTTTTTTTTTTTTTTTTTTCAGTGAGAATTTATTTTTAGGAACTTTGTTACTTTCTAGCGATATCACTGATGTAAATAATAATGTCATCTCCTCTTGAGAGAAAAGAAAGCTATTGGCAGAGTTGTACGTTATCTGAGTGGTTTCTGGTTTCTTTTTAATATAGAATTGACCATTTTGATAATCCTTTACATATTTATGTATATTTTATTTACTCTGGAAACAGATGCAGTAAGCATTAGGAAAGTCTTATCAATGTGATCAAATTTATTACGGATTTTTTATTTCCTTTCCACCTCCTATTTTTCCTGGTCTGGAAAAGTACAAAGTCCATTTTGCAATGGTAACACTTAACTGAAAAATAATGACCAGTTCACAAATGTGAAGGAGCTTCTGAGTCGTATTACCAAGTTAAAATCCTAGATTGTATTTCTATGTATAGAGCAAATTCTGTTTTGAGTTTGCAAACATTTTACAATTACCTAGCAGCTCCAGAGCAGTGGTAAAATCACCAGTTTTCTGCACAGTTTCTCTTTCATGTATGATGCTTCCAGTTTGTTCCCACTCAGCTATCACTTTCAGGTGGACTGTGCGGTTCCCCATGGCAGAATGATTGTAGTAGACAAAGGGCTCCTTGGTTATCTGATACATCCTGTGTGCCACAGAAAAAGGTTTATAATCAAAATCAGCTCTTATCAAGTACTTTACCCTTCTGATGCAAAATTAAAGGATAAGGATAAGCTCTCATATTTTTATTCTTTATAGATGGTGCTATAGCCAGCTGTGTGAAGGATGATGAATCAGAGTCATTCTGAATATTCATTAAAGATGACACCGTACCCATACCTACCCTTCCCCAAAGTCCCAGTTGTAGACAAATGATGCTGACTTGAAGTAATCACTTGGGTCATGAAGACAGAAAGAAACGTGGGTCACAGTGTCTGTGGAGGAGCTCAGACCTTGCTTGATAAGCGCGCTGCCTTCTATCTGGGCAATGGTGAGGTTCCCTGTGATGAATTCTGCAGAGTGATAACGTAGAGAAAGAATGATGCTGCGTATCGCTTTCTGCACATGCTATGTGAATATCAAAGCATTATTTAAAATCTACTGCTTATTTTTTTTCTGGGCTCTAGTGCAAGCAGTTATGTGTATTATATATCTGTTGCTCAGTGTCATTATATGTGTTAGTGAAGTGCAGAGATTAAACTGTTTACTCAAGGTAATATTACTCAGGTATATATAATCTATATACCACTATAACAACACACTAATGGAACAAAGGGGAAAAATCTTTGGCTGATTTAGGTCATTAACAATTTTTACAGGGTAAGACTCTTACCCTGTTAACAGTTCATTACATCTGGTTAACTATTATCTTGAGGATGCACAAATAAAAGAATTGGAATTACTGCTGCGGAATAGGTAGAAAATGCAGACCTAGCTAGAACTGTAATTTTTATTTTTTATTGGCAACTACCTTTGTGCCCAGGCTAAGCGTCTTCCTGGCGACTTGTATCCTATGAACTTTACAATAAGATGATGGACATATATCATCATTATATCATTTTATCCATGGATTAGAAAGTTTTTAGATCATTCTCTTGTTTGAGGAAGGCAGAACGGCATAGTGGGGATCATACCTTTCATGGCTATAAAAAGTTTCTGTCCTTGCTACTGACATGAAACCATAAGCCAGTGCAAAGAAAAGAAAAAGAAATAAGCAGATACTCAGGAAGGCAGCACTTTTTAAGAGCAAGAAGCTCTTATATATACTTTTATAAAGGCTCATCCAGTAAACTTGGTGTTTTTCAAAGAAAAATGGCAACAGCTATTCCCCAAAATTTCAGGTATGCCCCATGGTTAGTTCTTTCATCACTTATGTCCTTATCTGCCGCTGCTAAATGAGGGGTTGGAGCACCCATGGAGAGCAGCTGGGATGTGGCTGCAGAAAGGCAGCTCCTGTCCTTGCAGGAAGGGGTTGCGGGAAGCTCTTGGGATGCCTCATGTGCATCCCCGCTGCAGAGCCTTGGCTCAGCACACCACTCCACTGGTCATCAAAAAGGGCTGAATATTCATAACTATAAATATACATCAAGATGTAATTTGGCATAGCAGTGTTTGGAAACAGTCATGACTCCACATGTCATTTCAGGATGATAGCTCTAAACTTCCAAAGAAAGCGTAAGAACTCTGCTCTCTGTGTATTTTCTACATCATGCTTGCTTCCCAGCTGCAGGGCACAGCCTTTGCTCATGTGGAGGTAGCCAAGGTATCAGCTGCCCAGACACGTGTACCTTGAATTTGTGAAGAATTCAAGAAGCTGAAGAGGTGGTAACTTTACCTGTGACATGCAGAATGGTGACATTTCTAGCAACAGGCCGACACAACCAGCAGTTTCTGTGTGTCACCCAGACAGATACAGGAAAAGCGCCAGGGAATTCACCAGTCACATTAACCTGGGAGTGAAACTGCTGCTCCGATTTCCCAGTGAGAATCAGAGGAGCATAAATCCAGTTAAAATGATACAAGTTTGAGGTGATACTGTCATTCTTCATACTTAGACTGGCACGAACAGTAGCTTGAGCTCCCGTTGTGATGGGACCATTATTGGTTATTTCTAGATCATATTCCTCTGTAAAAATCAGAAGAAAAAACTCTTGGTTTTGTGTTTCAATTCTTACTCAAAACAGTAAAAACTATTTATGAAGAGAATTTGTATGGCAAAGGAACAGCCTTTGCAAAGGAAAAGGTAGATCATGCCAAAGGTAGATCTCGCTTAAATAGGCTCAGATTCAGACTCATCTACAGATGTAGACACGTCTTCATAAGTGTGTTCAAAAATATTTTGGCATCTTATACCCATTTTCACTGTTTGGCATTTGGGTTCATTCTCAAAATTTCATTAAGCATGAAAATAAACATAACAAAATAAAAGCAGTTGGTACAGTTCCACTTTTGTTTATTATTATTATTTTCTTTTTTTAAGGCCAGGGCCGTAATGAGGACATCAAAGATAAAGGACACAGCAAAATTCCCTGCAGTTGCCAAAAGGACAAATTACCAACTCGCCTTAAGAAATCCCTCTGTGGGCAGAGCCTTGGCCCAAAAATGAACCTGCTGGCCCAAAAATGAACCTGCTGGCCCAGGTAGGATTGCATGCGGTGCTTTCCTTTCCCTGCTCTGTTAACCCCCAAGTCTTCCCCACCTTCTGCCCATGTACAAAAACTTGATACCAGCTTCTTCCTATCTGTGGTCTACTGTTAACTTCCCTCTTTAGGAAGGAACCCAAGATCTCGGTATAGCCGAAGTGCTGCCACATCCTCGTGTCAGCCCCGTTCGGAGGGCAGAGCACGGGCGCGCTCGGCTGCAGCAGCGAGGGGCGAACGGGCGCTCGTTGCCACCCCTGGAGAGCAGCACTGCTGCTCTGCCCGCTCCCCTGCGTCCTCCCTGCTGCAGCTGCACGAGCTGCTGGAGCTCTTACAACTACTCTTGACAGGCAGAGCTGGTTTTACGGAAGGGATTTGAAATTCAGTTTTTGCACAGGTTGTATCCCAGGTTTCAGTGCTGGGAAAGCACTCCTGTGCTTCTTGTGTGGGTAAAGAAAGGGCCGTGCAGAGTTAGATGCCTTGGGCGCTACCTCAGCAGCGCAACAGCCGCCGCGAGCCGCGGGAGCGCCGGCAGCAGCCAGGTTTTCGGCTTCCCCGGGGCGGGGCGCGCAC